CCCCAAAACCCCAAAACCCCAAAACCCCTTAAACGAAAAATTATTTAAATGGAGTTGAAATTGAGATTTAGATTAAATCATTTAAATTTTATTTCAATCTCTTAATTTGCATGAAAGGTCAGAAGTTCAACCCTTAAGTATCGAGAAATATGAGCACAAGTCAGGCGCAGAATTTGAACAGTCCGAAGGTCGCAGTAGAAAAGAAGAGTTTATTTAAAAGGAACACACTTGATACCAAATAAATTATTGCAGACAAGCTTAAGCCTGTAAAATAAAGTTTGGCGGAGTAATAGAGGTTTCAAAATTCTCCCTATCAAAAGCCAATGGACTTGAATAAAAATGCTTGGGACAGATTAATTGATCGCACCTTTGATACTAAAACAGCGCAGTATATTAAAGACCAAAAAGAGAAAGAGGTTCAGAAAATCAGTGACCAATATAGCTAATCTTCTTCTCTCTTTAAGAAGGACAAGAACTTTGCTTAAAAATAGACTTAGGCAAAAACTGCAAATCACTCGCCTGTAAATAATAACAGTTCTTCAATCAAAGAAGTTATGAGCCAGCCATAATCTCCTGAATCAAGGAGAACTGGGTTATTTAGTAAATTCAAGCAGACTAGGAATCAATGCTAGACAGCTATGAACAGTAAACGCAATTCGTTTATCATGAATACCATAAATGAAAATGGAGCTGGTGAAGTGCAGAAAAAATCATTTATAAGTAACTACAAACCTCCTTAAAAGCCGACTGCTGCAAATTCATGGAAGAAATTCATAGATAAGACATCAGATTGCAAGGTAGTCAAAAATGATACAAACTATTGTGAACGTAGAACGGTCGAATCATTCTTGTCTGGTAGAACAATTAACCCTTCTTAGTATGCAAGTTAAGCAAACATGCTATTGATTAGTGATTCTGTTAAAAGAGAACAAAATATGTAAATGAATGAAAGTGAATTAGGGAAAAATATTACTGGATGCAGGAAAAAATAAAATGAAAAAGTTAATTTACACTAATTCAAGGTTGTTTATAGCAAAGATGAGTTGAAAAAAGATATTGAGCAGAGAAGAGATAAACTAAATTACACAAATATTGGTCACTTCACTGATGGTCTCAAATTAAATGAATCATCTTCTACTTATATTGGCAGTAGCAAGGTTGGCTGCTATCTTCAGGACAAAACAAATCATTAGCATGAAGAGAAGTAAATTAATCTTGTAATTAATTAATTTTTATTTAGTCCAATCAGGAATAAGAAAAATCAGATGGACTATATGTCAAGCATTTCATGCCTATCTCCAGAGAAAGCAAGGAGAGACCCCTCTTTTGATAACAACAAATCTACTGGCAAAGCTAAGGTTCAACTTGCTTTGAAAAATACTATAAATCAGGCTGTGAATGAAAACTTCTTGCCCAAATCATTTAACACATAGACCTCAAGAAAAGGAGGAATGAATAACAATAGCTAGAATCAATCAGGGATCTTTAATACAATTAACGCAGGGGCTGAAAGAAATCTTTCCCCCATAGGCAGAATAATCCCATAAGGATTCAGAGACATGTTCCAATCCCAAATTACTAAATTAAGTTGATTTTCCACTTGCAACTATTATATATGAATACTATTGAAAATTAAGTGAATTAGTTGCCTGTATACACTCAAGCAGAGATCATGACTCCCCTCATCAGGTATTATTAGTTGCATAATATGTTTTATTAATCGGTAAATAAATTTTATCTCTTTGATGCCTTAAATTTAACTAGAGGGGTTTTGGGGTTTTGGGGTTTTGGGG